TTCAAGGTATTAATCAAAACACTTACAACCACGTAGCCATTGCCACATCAAAATTAAGTACTTCGACGGTGTTAATCGCACAACATCAATCATGGTGAGCCTTATTTATAAAGGGCTGTAGCTATATCTGCAACGATGTCTCTTACAGTTCGCTGCTGACAATTCAGTAGGCTTGGTTCGCTTACTCGAAAAACAACTTTGCATCATCTATCATAATCAAATTCACCATGTGGATGAATGTTCTTCTTGAGGGCCAATCCGCGACGGACAAAAACCCCAAAAAAATTCGTAAATGCGGCTGTTGGTATTCGTCAATATCCTATAGGCGTGGATGGCAGATCGGGTAGCAAGCACCAGCATATCTTGTCACCATATTTTTGAGTCAACACGGCCGCAGTAAAACTCGTGAAAGATCCGGCAAAAAATACTTTGATGCGCTTGCCGTTGGAGAAACCGTAGCGCCAGTAGAGAACTTCTGTGATAGCTGGCTTCCCTATCGGGGCTTAAGATACTGCTAAAGAGGTAGATTTGGGAACTTTCATTTCCCGTTTCCTTACTGGGTGTATCAGAAGAGGAGCCGTTCCGTGTAATGCATGCGTGTAATGCACGGATCCAAGTGCAGCCCACAACCATGTCTCCCCATCAGGATTGGTCAGTTCGTGGGCCGGATCCAGTTCAGATCGATCGACCTCGTTTCAAACGATTTAGGTCGAATTCCAATAGTCGTTTATAGGACCACTATCAAATCCAACGGTTGTTATTAGGACTTCTATTAAAAGAGTCAGCTTCCTTTGGTTCCCTCTGATGTCTGTTATGTGAGGAACAAAGCTTCTGCAAAGGATTTGGAAAATATATCGAAACTACTAATAAATATTAACATATCAGTGTTCACTTCATTGCAATTCGAAATTATTTCTTTTCCGAAGGGAGCACAAGTATTGGATTAATTCAATCTATTTTCAAATGATTCGCAAAGGAAATTTATAATTCCGAATGGAATAGTCAAGGCAGCCGGGCAATCAATGTCAGTCATCCGCTTCGAATCACGACATTCCTTTTCCCAGCTATGCATGTGCCGAAATCACACCACAGCGCCAGTAACGATGAATGAGTTTATGGTTGTCGCTAAATGCGCCGTAGAGTTATGTCGCGGCCGCGAACTTACCTTCACAGCACGCCTGGTCGATAGTGCTACAACTTCGGCCAAAAACGTTAAACATAAGCAATAGTTCAGCTAAGTTTAGAACTTTAGCTTAAAGGTCAAAAGAGTTTGGGGCTCAGTCGAAAAAGAGGCGCTAGGGCAAGAGCATATGTGTGAACTCGGATTTCTGTTTGACTAATAGTTTGATTGATAACCGGAATTATTTGCATGAATGTAAGAAAATAAATGTAAAAAGACGGTGCTTCAAGCGATTTTGCTGCTAAATACATATCAAAACTGATGCAAAGAATTATTACAGTACATTTGATCATAGCGGATGCAAGAATAACGGCTCATTGGCTGAATTCACAGAATATCACTATATCAGGACACGAATTTGCTGCAGTCATTTTAATCCATTCCATCGTGCGAGAAGGTCTCTATTCATCGTTTACTCTGTCCAGAACTCCACCCACTCCGTCTACCCTTATACCATCAAGCGCACGTTGCTGAAGACCACTGGTGACTGCAGTGCCCTTCACTTTGTAGGAAAGTTAAGACAGACACATCGTATCATATGGTGACAGTGACACACAAAAACAGCAATAGCCAACCGAGTAAATAAAACATTAGGAATGAATGAAACATGAGCTCGGATATATTACAAATCGCAACATATTACGACGAGAGCTCATGACATCCAGTGTAGAGTAATTGGTTCGTGCGTTAGTGATTATACTAAAAATAGCGTAGTCCAGTGAGAGAACAACACTGATGTTTCGGCCTGTTCATTGGTAAGTTGTTGGTGAAGTTCCGTGCATGTGGTAGGAGCAGAAGGCCTTCTTGCTCCGAAACTATCGACTGCTGGGACTGACCACAGCATCATTTGCGCTGTGCACGTGTAAACCGTGTTTTACTTTATTTTTTCTGTGCATCTTGGGCAATCCATTGCATTATGCAAAACGGCCTGCTTTTATTCACTTCATTCGGCAAATTTACGTTAGGCCACTTAGCCGAATTATAACGGATGCTTCAGCGCAACCCGTTGACGGCCATCCACCCGCAGTAGTCTCGGGACATTGTTGGAGCGCGAGCAGCCACATTATGTAGGTGGAGTTTCTTTAAATTTATGCTGAAACTTTAACACAGAAGCTTTAGCACAAAAAAATGAGATTTGATGATCCTAATAAAGGCATGTTACACACTGAAACACGCATCCAAACCGAAAATAAGACTAGTTTTCGATGGATCGCAGGTCACAGTTTCCACTCTTACTAATACCCATAAAAATATATTTCGTTCTATAGTTCTCTTGTAGACATTAACGTTCTGTCACGCTACAGGTGCTAAAGCATGTATTGTGCGAGTAATACGCATTAACCACTGCTAAGTAAGAGTGCTCAAGAATTTCATATTGAAAATGTTAACATGGCGAGATGAAGAAATAAGTGATTCACAAAGGAACTCAAAGCGAACGGAAAGAATCTCAAATCAGATTTAACGAATTTGAAACAGAATAAAAGCAGTTGCAGCGAAACAATAAAAGATTCAAGAAATAATGCAACTCCGCCATGGTTGGACCCAAGCCCGGATGAGATAGGAGGAGGGTTGGGGACCGTGGCAAGTCTCCGTAAATTCAGCCATCTGCCACTCATGGTATTGACGCCATCTAAAATTACACCAGCTCGGTCGTAGCCCGGGTTACCAAGGGCCGCGCAGGCAGTTGGTGGACTGAGGCAGACTGCGAAAAGTCGGCTATCAGAACCTGCTCATTGCCCTCCGCCAGCCGGGGG